TTTTATTTTTTATCCTGAATGAACACATGCATACTTCGAGCAGGTTGTTTAAATATAATGGAGCGTGGAGAGAGGATTGTAAAATTTATCTGGAAAGTTTTCATCATAAAGGCTTCAGGGCAGAATCAAATTCTTAAACCATGTATGGAGAAAATCCTACATTTTTTACAGGAGGTCTAGAGAATCATAGCAGTTTCTATAAGAACTACTATATGGGAGCCCTGACATTCAGACAGCGTTTTAGTGCAGGTTCAAGGGTTTCTGCAGAAAACATTCTCTGTTCTCTTCTCACTTGTTGAACTTTTCTTGTGTTGCAGCCTGTAAAGGACGACCCACATTTTCATCACTTCCTACTCAGCCAGTCTGAGAAGGTAAAGAGGAAACACGCTGTTTCACATCTGCACCTTATGATTTGTTTTCTTTCCTGTTGATGCTCATCTATAGACGATTAGTTTAGCGCTTCACATCTGATCTCTTTTGGTCTTCGATGTGAGACTCAAGTCTTGTGTCGGACTCAAATGTGTAGCTTGGCTCTGATTTGATCAATAAGTTACAGACACCTTGTGCTTTCTTCATTGCTTTTCTCTTGACTAATTGAAGCCGAGTTCCTCAGGCTGGAGTGTCTCTCAATGCACAGACCACCTCCCACCCTAAAGCTACCCACTAATGGAGGCCTGTAACACTTAAACTGAACCAACCCGTGGTTAAGCTCATACATCCTCTTTCTGTGTCAGACTGCTGGTGAGAGGCTGAGTAACACTTCAACATTCAGAACTAAATGTTCCTCAGCACACACTGTTTCAGTCTAGTTTTATATAATAGGATGAACTGGGCCAATGAAGCATGCAGAAAAAAAACCTGTTATTATTTCTATATTAGTGCTCTACCAATCAAGAGTAAACCAGTAATGAAATCTGATGCAGGTTAGTGATTATTTAATCATTTATTGTAATTAACATTGTGATATTTAGGGTAGCTGTTGCAAAAGCGAAGCTGAATCTGCCACAGGATGCACACTGGCATCATTCTCATTCATGGTGCTGGGCTCTACAGCAGACCAGGACCAAGTGTCTTCTGGCCTAAATCTCTCATCTGTGCTCTGAGAGTTCATAACGTTGTGTCAGTGATCTAATGAATTACAGATTTAAATGGCTGAGATCTGAGTTGGCCCACATCTTTTCAAAACCCAAAGGTGCTTCTGTAATATTTGGCGTCTTCCGGGCGCCAACGCAGGTCCCTGCTGCCGACCTGACATTTGATCTCATTGTGGATGTGAAGCGAAATTAAATCTGCAAGTGGCTCATTGTAAAATCTAGCTTAAGTTCGTTAAATGTTGTTCTGTGTTACAATGTGTTGCTGGTGTGGAGTCCATTTGTCACCTTTTGTGTGTCTCCTGTTTGCCCACAGCCGGCCTCATCAATGGAACCCATTAGCAAGCGCCTGAAGATCATCGAGGAGGTAAAGCAGCTAGTTCGTTTTAGTGAACGTCACCAGTCACAACGTTAATGGGATATTGGCTGTTTTTTACTTGTACAAATGAGCTGCTTTACTTACGTTTGAATGTCGGCGTGTTAAATGGCATATATTTCCAGAGCATGTTCTGTTGAAAGCCGAGCGAAGGCAGATAAGGCTTCACTTCCTTGATTGTGATATTGAGAGAGTTGCTTTTGATTGTGCAGGACACAGGGTCAACATCTATCCAAGCAGCAGACAGCACAGCCATCAATGGCAGCATCACACCCACAGACAAAAGGTATGAATACATCCTCACTGAACACCGTCAGCAAAATAACTCACTAAAGTTAGCTGAAAACTGGCAACTAGGTTAACAAATGTGTAACTGACTACTGTCGTCATTTAGGAAGCCTTTCGTCACTTGCGTGTTTGTGTTTTTAAATTGCGTAATGTTCTTTTTTTTGCCCAACAGGATAGGCTTCCTGGGTCTGGGGCTGATGGGTAGCGGCATAGTTTCCAACTTGTTGAAAATGGGTCATGTTGTCACGGTGTGGAATCGCACAGCAGAAAAGGTAGAGTATAGCAACACACAGGTGGCTTCACACAGCGGCTGCATCGTACAGGTTGAAACAATTACTGTGTCTGAGTCTAGTACCAGGGTTCCATTAGTACTTCTGGAAGTGTTTCAGCTCATGTTTAGTGACTTCTGTTTTAGCACTTGCCCATAATCTACTGTCACAATGATAGACTTTTTTATTGTCAGTAAATCTGCATGTAAACAGTCAGAAAATACTCAGAAAAAGGATTCTCAAATGTTTCATGAGGAAGGAAATGCACTTGGCCAGTTTGTTAGACCTTAGACACACAGCGATTTTATGTTGAGCAACATAGATATCACTTCTGTTTTCATAACTCCACAGAGCTGCTTTTAATAAAAGGGCACACATGTTGGCAGAGTGATCTATTCATTAGCTAGCCATTAGCTCGGCGCTAATGATGCCCGCCTGCTTGTTTCAGTGCGACCTGTTCATCCAGGAGGGTGCCAGGTTAGGCCGGACTCCTGCAGAGGTGGCTTCCATGTGTGACATTACTTTCTCGTGTGTCTCCGACCCAAAGGCCGCCAGGGATGTGAGTACGAGTTCACCCAAAGGAAGTGTCCTGCTGCTGAAGTGATAACTGGCTAATGAGCAGGTGTTCAGACACGTGCTGTCTCATGTCTGTGTTAATATCCTGGTCATTTTTGGCTAAAGACACTCAGTCAAGTTAGATCAGTTTTATCTACAATATAAATGCCTACTGATTACGACAGCAAGCTTGGAGAAGCTGTAAGGGAGAACTGTGTTCAGCTTTTTTGACAACAAGCAAATACGGGTCAAATGTCAAGATCTGAGCTGCTCTCCCTAAAGGCCTAGATAAGTAGGCATCTTTCTGTATTGTCTAGTAACCTTCCTTTGCAATTCGCCAATTGTACTGTTTCAAATTCAGTTTAAAATTGACTGAGTCACACACACTGCACGACTTTTATCTGCTGACTGTCAACACCAGCTGATATAGAACGGAACAGGTTCAGTCTGGCTTGCTGCAGTCAGTCGTGCAGCCAAACCATCTCTGTACTTGGTTGTCATGTGCGCGCTCATTTTTAGATGCCACATGTTGTACCATTTCTGTTTGTGTCTGGAAAACAAGCTGAAAGAAACATGGCATAGAAGTCAATATATGTATGAAAAGTTATCCAGCTTGGCAACATTGTGTGTCTGATTCATGTCTTTGTGTTGTTGCTCTGTAGTTGGTGTTAGGACCCAGTGGAGTGCTGCAGGGAATCAGGCCAGGCAAGTGCTACATAGAGATGTCCACTGTAGATCCAGAGACCATCACAGAACTCTCACAGGTATACACCAACATACACACCAACCGAGCCCCAATAATGCAGCCGCACAGTATACAATCTTGCTCAATTAAAATAAGAATGAATTCATATGTTTGGGGACTATCCTGAAACCCCCAAAATGATTGTAGCTTTCTTTTCCATCTCAAGTATTGACAGCAGCAGCTGTTGTAACTGGAGTAGCACAAGTACATTTTTTATTCATCGTTCGAATGTCAGGTGATCACGTCGCGGGGTGGCCGATTCCTGGAGGCTCCAGTGGCGGGCAGCCAACAGCTCTCCAACGACGGGATGCTCGTCATCCTGGCGGCCGGGGACAGAACGGTCTACGAGGACTGCAGCAGCTGCTTCCAGGCTATGGGCAAGACCTCGTTTTTCCTGGGTATGCACGGTGCAGTCACCTCAGGATGCAATGCAGTCAGCAATAGATCCATTCTTGTTCTGAGAATATTGCAGAGGAATGAGAGATCGGTGGTTTTGGCAGATCGCTGTTATCGAATACTGAGAGTTCAGAAGTAGAAGAGAAGGACATGACAGCCAACCAAAAAGTTATATAGTCCATCAATGTATTCAGAGTGACCCATGCATAAACCCATGACATCATCTATCCATGCCACATGAGTGATCAATTAAAATGGAAAATGATCAGCACTTGCATCGTGCCTATTTATCCTTAGCTAGCTTCTATGAAGGTGGGGTACCTTTGGGTTCAGTGTCTTTCCCAAACACATTTCAGCATGTGAGGGTGCTGAAGATCAAACTGCCAACCTTGTGTTTAGTGGACAACCCATCATACTACCTGACTCAGTGCTACCCAGTAAAGTCAGACCTGTACCTTCATGTAGTAGCCCTTCAGTCTGGACCAATACACACCACACGTAAAGACCTGTAACATCGATCCTTTGAAAGCTGCGGTTGTCTGAGCAGTCACCCCTCCAAGCTTTTGCTTTAAGATTCTGCACGGTCTTATGAGCTTTTATAGAAGGTTTCATGTGATTTCTTTTTTTCAAAAAAAGCCACAATGTGAACTGAGAGGTTGAGTTGGCTTTGAATGACACTACGGTAGTTTGAAAAACCATCACTCTGGAATTGTACTGAACTAGAGGACCTACCAAGTTTTAAGAGGTTCATTAGAATGTTGTCTGTAATTCCTACAGACAGAATCCATTTATAGCTGTTTTCTGCCACATATGTGTTAAAGGAATGGCAAAAAAAAATATGTTTGATTGTGTATAGACTTCAGACCTGTGAATGTTGTCGTGTTCTTTGTCAGTGAGTGATGTTAAATATATCATTTACGATCCTAGTTTCTAAACTGTTCCATGTACATTAATTGTTTGAGCTTTAACTGCCAAGTTTCTGCTTTGTGGCTGTGAATAAGCCAGTTCCAGGCCAGCAGAAGTGTGGACACAGGCAGACTGACAATCAGTTCACCGTGGACACTATGAAGTGATTCTGCTTTAATGTGTGTTTATGTAACCATGCGGGTGTGTGTGTCCTTTAGGTGAAGCAGGGAATGCAGCAAGGATGATGCTGATCCTCAACATGGTTCAGGGTAGCTTCATGGCCACAGTTGCAGAGGGACTAACTTTGGCACAGGCCACGGGCCAATCACAGCAGACATTCCTGGACATCCTGTGCCAGGGCCAGATGGCTAGTACCTTCGTGGACCAGAAATGCCAAAGTAAGTCACCGACAAAGGACGCTTGAAGTGACAAGTTTACAGACCTTCATGTATCCTTGCTGACTGGATGTCTCTTTTTTTTTTTTTTTTTTTTTTAAAGCGTGCCACTACATAAACCTTAAAGCACATTCATCACTAGTCCTCGGGCTTCTTCTTATAGATTCTTCCGACAAAATTTTCGGCACCTACCAAATCCCGCAGCTCTGAGAAACTTCATACAAATTGTATATCAAAACATGTGGTGTCACTTAATCTAAATTTTGACTAGAAACTGTTTTATGAAAAAAGCGCATTTAGCCTTATCTCCTTCTCACATTTTCTTAGACTTAGACAGACTTTATTAATCCCAGAAGGATTCAGGTGTTACAGCAGCATGACTATTTAACAAAGGGGGTAAACAAAGCAAATGACAACACAGCATATTAGGGTAATTTCTACTCTGCATTAACAATTTACGCATTAAAAATGTCTATCATCTTTTACCCCGTGTGGCTGTCATTACTAAAGGACCTTCATAAATCACCTCGGAGCAAAGAGTGTGCCGACCAAAACTTTATTTCACTGTCATTATGTCGCAGCTGCAAAATTTCAGGTGAAAATCAGAAACAGAGGGTCTCTGATCTGCTACCAAATCTATTTATTACACGGTTGGTACTTGAACATACATCAGCATGTTCAAACAAGACCTTTACAGGGCTGAGGAAGCAAATTCAGACATGTGAGCTTTTTATTTTTTTATTTTTTTTCAAAGCAAAAGCCCATAGTTAGGTAAAAAATAGAATAAAATTAACCAGATGCATTGAGGTACACTTTCAAAATAAAGGTTCTGAAATGTAACAGAAGTTTTACCAGGCACACTGAAACATGCTGGCTTTTCAAAATAAATGTGCTTACCGTAATTTTTGGACTATGAGCGCACCTGAATGTAAGCCGCACCCACTAACTTTACGCAAATACGTACCGTAAAGGCTTTTTTCCGAACAGTGCCTGTAACACGGCTAATTAAGAAAATAAATACTACAGCAGCCTACCAGGAAAAGTCACTGATCGCTATCTTCATCTTCCTCCTGCACTAAAACCACTAAAGTCGTCTTCTTCAACCTCAGAATCACTTCGTCATACTCTTCCTCAGTCTGTCTTTCGTTGTCGTTCTCAATGTCACTTTCGTCTCGAGGCAAATTCAGAAAAATCCATAAATTAGCCGCGTCATTGTTTAAGCCGCAGTGTTCAAAATATAGGAAAAAAGTAGCAGCTTATAGTCTGGAAATTATGGTTTATAAATGATACTTACTGTCTAAGTATAGCAGGACAGAAGCACCAGTAGAGCCTCCCTCCACATTTCTATTTAGACATTTCTTGTTTTTGTTGTTGTTGTTTTTTTTACGATGTTATTTGTTCATTTTTCTTCTTTTGATTTGTAGCCATAAAAAAATTCTGTGACAGTTTTATATAAACCTGCTGCAACATGTTTTTGATGTTGGACCTGCAATAACCTTTCTTCGTGTCTCTCCTAGATATTTTACAGGGCAACTTTAAGCCAGACTACTATTTGAAACATATTCAGAAGGACCTGAGGCTAGCCATCTCTATGGGCGACATGGCCAACCATCCAACCCCAATGGCTGCAGCTGCCAATGAGGTACAAGTGTGTGCTGTAATGATGCTCTGTTTGTGTTAGAGTCGCTGTTACAAAAGCACTTTCCTCATCAGTCATTAACACTATAACTCAGGAACAGAACAAGACGTCGTGCCCATATGTCACATTTGGTTTGATACTGACACTAATCTTCGGTTCTTCTGACTGAACTCTGAGTTTTCAACCAAAAATACTAGAAACAGTCGATTAAACAGAAGCTCTGGCTCAGGGGACCTTGTGGGTTCCTGTATCTGTTCCCAGTAGACCCAGTCAGTGTTCTATTCACTGAGAAAAGCCTGGATACAGAGATGTACTTTAAATATAGCCGTGACTCGATAATCTGACACTAAATATAAAACCTTCTTTTATGTTGGATAGCAAGGCTGTCGGATTGTCAAGACGGAGGTCGAGATACAAGGAGGGCTTGATGCTTGAAGGCTCATTTGTGTTAATATTTATTGTTCATAGTTGTTATAATAACCAGTAGGGCTGGTCCCAATAGCACTTTCTGGTCTGTGGATCTTAAGGCCCAATTAATGATGAATATTTGGCGCGGTCGGAGGGCACTTCCACCCTGGGGGAGCACTCCGACGGGGTGGAAGTGTCCGGAAAGCACAGGCAGTACTTGGCTGCTGAGGCCAGTTTAGTTAGTGGTCACAGTTCTGTTTCCACCATCGTTGGCGGTGGCAAAATGGCAGATACGCTCCACCGTTACCATCCGTGTTTACTTCTGTAAACACTGAGCACGCTC